GAACTGGCAAGATATGGCAGAGGACTTCATGAACCATTTTCGATTCAATACAGAGATCACTCCTCATCGGTTCACGCTGGTGAACCTGCAGAAAAAACCATCTGAGTCGTTTCAAGAACATGCACGACGGTGGAGGACAAAAGGCTGCCAGGGCGCAACTGCCGTTGGACGATAGTGAAATAACCAAGTACTTCATTTGAGCCGAGGAGGGAATATACTTTGAAAAAATGATGGAATGATGGGTCAAAACTTCCCCGAGCTGGTTAAGATGGGTGATTTCTTAGAATAGGGAAAAAAATTGGTAAAGTGCAATCTATGGCAGCACTACAAGCGGCCAACGAGGCCATCCAGTCAGGGTCGATCAGTAGGGGAAAGAAGAAGAAATAGGAAGTCTCAGCAGTCATCCCTTACTACTAAACTAACCCACCTCATGGAAGCACCTCTTAATCCCTAAACAACCACTCATCGCCACCAACATATGCTCAAGTCTATAATACCCAGCCATATTACCACCTTTAACCACAATACAACCCTCCTCGAGGCAACAACCACCAAAACCCACAACGATCATATGCTTCCCTGATCAAGAGTGGAGCCATCCTGTGCACTCCAGCACCACCTAATGTGAATCGCAACCCATTGCCAATTCATCGAAACCAAAGAGCTAACATGATTACATTTGACAAGAATATGACCTGAATAGAACTATCGTCACTATAGGGAATGCAGAAGCCGCAAGGATCCTTCTTCAAAAAGCTCCAATCATTATAGTACAACTAAAGCCTACAGTGATAGTTCAAACCTATCTGCAACAACCTGGCGATGCTACTTGGGAAAAAGAAGATAGGGAGTACAAAACTGTCCCATAGACGTACAAGCAAAAGGGAAAGGCCAAAATGATAGACTCTGCCGCAGCCCATGGTATGACTAGGTCTGGGAGATGCTACGCCCCCGAAGATGTCAATCGAAGAAATTCGGGGAGAAAATAAATTTTGAGGAGAAACATAACAGAACCATAAGTTGCTGAGTTTTAGAAAATAATGTCAAGCAAAGAGTATTTTTTGGAAGAGCAATTAAAGAAATCTCCAGCACAGATATCCATCATGGATCTATTGATGAGCTCTAATAGCCATAAGGAGGTAAGTGTTCCAAGTAACACTACTAGTGAGGCGTTGGCCGCAATGATTGGGAAAATGGTAGAAGAAAACATGATCACTTTCAGAAGAGACGAACTTCCTGTCGGATGCGCAAGTCACAACAAGGCTCTTCACATCACTGTCAAAAGAGGGGACAAAGTGGTATCCCGGGTGTTGGTAGATGGATTATCAGGAGTCAACATCTATCCGCTCTTTACCTTGCGGGAGTTGGGAATTCATTTGAGAGAAGTCAAGGAAAGCCATGTAAGAGTAAGAGTTTTTGATGGCTTAGAAAAGGATGTTCTTTGAGAGATTTTTCTAGCTTTTGAAATTGGGTCGGTCGACTTTCCGGTGTTGTTCCAAGTAATGGATACCTCCTCTTCCTACAATTTCTTGTTGGGCAGGCCTTGGATACATATGGCAGGGTCCGTGCCGTCTACTTTGTACCAATGCATAAAATTCGAGTGGGGATGCCAAGAGATCGTGGTTCACGGTGAGTGGGATCACACGGCTTATCTGGAGTATGATGTCCCGTTCATTGAGGGGGTAGACGGAGTAGTGTTCCACAATGCAGAAATAATGCAGACTACTAAGGTGGAGAAGACTGAACAAAATTAGAGAATGCAATCGCTGTATGGATTTAATATGGCCATGAAGGAGATGATGAAATATGGATACAGACCAGGAACAGGATTGGGAGCCAAGTCAGATTGAATTACAGAGCCAATTGAACATGATCTGCAGAGAGGAAGGGTTGGCGTAGGATATTAGCCTGCGGAAGGAAAAACTCGCACCATTAGCCCCGGGAAAAAGGTTTTTGGGCCAGAGCATGTTGCAAGTCTGGGACAGGGTTCAACACTAGAAGATGATATCAACCAAGGGATGGGAAAGCTGTTCGTAAATATGATTGATGAATGCTGTGAAGGAACTAACATCAAGACACCGAGTATCAGGGATGCCGAACCAGGGGAAGAGCTGTAGAATTGGACAACCAGTCAATCTTTGGTTCGCCGCGAGTCATGGTAGTATGGATCTTATTAAAGATTTCTTTTGAAAAGAGCACGGTCAATTGAGGAATGTATCGTGTCTGTACCTTATTTGCCATTTGCCTCTTGTGAACGCTTTAGACATTCCCTTTTTGATGAAATAAAAAGAATTTTTTTCCTAAATATCGCAACTTTATTTTACTGCTTTATTTATACCTAGATTTTCTTTTCAGTAATCAAACCTTTAAAAAATAGCGTTCCGCGATTGTGACATGTAACAAAACTGCCGAGCGCAACGACCCGAATTACGAGGAATATGAAAAAATATCATGCCAGACAATCTCCATAAGAGATCGAACAGCTGGAGACATAGAAGATGCCCAATCTCGAAGAAACGGAAATAGTCAATCTTGGGAGTGAAGAAGACGCAAAAGAAACCAGAATCAGCATTCACCTAGAAGCCGAGCTGAAGAAAAAACTGATTGAGCTCCGCCGACAGTATGTCGATGTTTTCGCATGGTCCTTTGATTAAATATCAGGATTAAGCACCGACATTATCTCGCATCGACTACCCACTGACCCTACCAGAACGTCGGTCAAGCGGAAACCCAGGAAGTTCAAACCTTATTTAAGTCTAAGGATAAAGGAAGAAGTGACCAAACAGATAGAAGGAAATGTAGTAAAGGTCACCAACTATCCAAGCTGGTTGGAAAACATCATCCAGGTGCCCAAGAAGGATTGGAAGATTAGAATATGTGTGGATTACCGAGATCTTAACAAAGCTAGCCCAAAGGATGATTTTACCTTGCCAAATATCCATATCCTCATCGACAACTGTGCGAAGCATGAACTGCGGTCGTTTGTGGATTGTTTCGCTGGATACCATTAAATCTTAATACAGGAGAAAGACGCAAAGAAGATAGCTTTCACCATTCCTTGTGGAGTCTACTTTTATAGGGTTATGTCGTTCGGTCTCAAAAATGTCGGCGCCACCTACATGAAGGCCATGACAACCCTCTTTCACGACATGATGCATAAGGAGATTGAAGTGTATGTGGATGATGTCATCATAAAGTCTCGAAAGAGTTTAGAGCACCCGAACAACCTGAGAAAATCTTTTGAGCGCCTGTGAATGTGCAGTTTGAAGTTGAATCCCGCAAAGTGCGCGTCCCGAGTCCCGCTGGAAAACTATTGGGTTTTAATGTAAGCAGGAAAGGGATAGCAATGGACCCATCAAAAATCAAAGCCATCCAGGAATTACCACCACCAAAGATTAAGAAAGATGTCATGAGTTTCCTGGAAAGATTGAATTACATCAACCGCTTCACAGCCCAGTCAACAGTAATCTGTGAAACCATTTTTAAGTTGCTAAAGAAGGATGTGAAACCATTTCCTTGAAAACCTGTCAACCATTTTTAATCTGTCAACCATTTCCTTGAAAACCTGCCAGTGCTGGTTCCTCCTGAATTAGGGAAACCGTTATTGCTCAATTTGGCAATCTTGGGCAATGCCTTCGGCTGTGTGTTGGGGCAACACGACAAAACTAGGAGAAAGGAGCAGGCCACCTACTATTTAAGCAAGAAACTCACACCAAGCAAGGCCAAGTATACTTTGATAGAACACATTTGTTGTGCTCTGACTTGGATGGCTCAGAAGTTAAGGCATTACATGTCGGCATACACCACACATCTGATATCTCGGCTCGATCCGCTCAAGTAAATTTTACAGAAGCCAACACCTACCGGAAAGCTAGCCAAATGGCAAATTCTTCTTAGCGAATTTGACATTGTGAACATAACTCAGAAGGCTATCAAAGGACAAGCTTTAGGCGACCACCTCGCTGAGAATCCAATGGATGGAGATTACGAACTGCTTACCATGTATTTCCCCGATGAAGAAGTACTATTTGCCGGGAAAGATATTGCAGAATTATAACTTGGATGGAGAATGTTTATCGATGGAGCAGCAAACTTCAAAGGAGCCTGGATTGGAGCAGTCTTGATTTTGGAATCTGGGAAACACTATCCAGCATCGGCAAAGATAAGATTCCCTTTTACCAATAATATGGCTAAATACGAGGCATGGATCCTTGGAATCAGAATGGTAGTCGACATGAACATCAGAGATCTTTTGGTCATAGGAGATCCCGATTTGGTGATACACCAAGTCCAAGGAGAGTGGACCGCTAAGAATGTAAAGATACTGTCCTACCTGCACTGCGTGAAGGAGTTGTGCAAGAAGTTCACAAAGATTCAGTTCAGGCATGTCCCCAGAATTCAGAACAAGTTCGACGTCGCCCTTACGACCTTATCATATATGATTCAGTATCCAGACAAGAACTATATCGACCCTATCGACATAGAAATTAAGGATCAACATGCCTACTGCTTCCTTGTGAATGCAGAACTAGATGGTAAACCTTGGTATCACGACGTTAAGTAGTTCCTTGCGAACCAAGAGTACCTAGAGAATGCTACTACTGGTCAAAAGCGAGCCCTCAGGAGGTTGGAAAACCACTTTTTCCTCAATGGGGAAGTCTTGTACAGGAGGACCCCAGATTTAAGTGTGTTTGAGATGTGTAGACGCTACCCAAGCAACTAGACTGTTGGAAGAAACACATGCAGGTACGTGCGGACCCCGCATGAACAGGTTCTAGTTAACTAAGAAGATTTTGAGAGCTGGATACTTTTTGATGACTATGGAAAGCGACAGTATACGCTACATACAAAAGTATCACTAGTGTCAGATTCACGGAGATTTTATCCGGGTTCCACCAAATGAACTAAACATAATGGGTTCCCCCTAGCCGTTTGCCGCCTGGGGCAGAGATGTGATAGGACCAATAGAGCTTGCAGCGTCAAACAAACATCATTTCATTATGGTATCCATCGACTATTTCACCAAATGGTTCAAGGCATATTCTGTTGTCACAAAGAAAGTAGTGACAGATTTTGTCCGAAACAACATCGTCGGTAGATTTGGATTATCGGAGTCTATCATCTCTGACAATGCTGCCAACTTCAACAGAGACCTCATGAGAGAAATATGCGAGAAGTTCAGAATCTTCCACCTCAATTCCATAGCCTACATGCCACAAATGATTGGGGCGGTCGAGGCAGCCAACATGAATATCAAGAGGATTCTACAAAATATAGTAGACAATCACAGACAATGGCACGAGAAGTTACCTTTCACTTTATTAGGTTACCGGACTACCATAAGAACATCTAGTAGGGCAACGCCACACATGTTAGTATACGGCACAGAAGCGGTGATACCTGCAAAGGTCAAGATACCGTCCTTAAGAGTTATTCAAGAAGCAAAATTGGACGATGCAGAGTGGATACAGGTCAGGCAAGAACAGCTCATGCTCATTGACGAGAAAAGAATGGTTGCAGTATGTTATGGCTAGCTATACCATAACAGGATGGCTATTGCATATAACAGAAGAGTGAAGCCTCGCCAATTCACAGAGGGGTAGTTGGTTATGAAGAAAATCTTTCCCCATCAAGAAGAAGCTAATGGGAAGTTTGCACCAAACTAGCAAGGTCCTTACGTGGTCCATAGAGCACTGTCTCATGAAGCTCTAATCTTAACAGAAATGGATGAAGAGTCAGCACGAAGCCTATCACTCGGACACAATCAAGAGATATTATGCCTGAAGACAGATAGAGTTATGATTTTTTATCTAATAGAACTACATTCAACCTGACTTCCCACGGAAGGATATGTAGGCAACCCACGTAGGGTTCGGTTTCACTCCCTCTTTCTTTTGTGATAGAAAAACCAAATATCATTTTTGTATGTTTTTCAGGAACTACACTGACTAGATTTCCTAAAAAAGGAATACGGAGGCAATCCTCATCCGATTCAGTCGTCAGTTGTAATTGAACTACGTTCTGGCCTGATTCCACTTGGATACGTAGGTTGTTTGAGTTAGACTCGGCCAATTTTCATTTATTAGTCTCATCATTTTGAATGAACTGTAATTGAACAATGCTTCGACCCGATTCGGTGATGGATACGTAGGCAACCTAAAAGGGTTCGGTCATACCCTTAGGAAACCTCTATAATGCATTAGTTCTAACTATGACGAAATTAAAACAAGAAGTAGCCATGTCAAAGATGTCACGAATGATCGACATCAATGGGACGAATTTCTCGAAGGGATACATTCGCGTGTGGAGAACCTTTCGCAACATGTCATAATCCGAAACGACAGCATTCAGCTTAAAAGAAATAAGTATTTTTCAAAATATTTTCTAATATGTATATAGTAATCTGTTCCATCTACCGAACCTCGTGAAACAATCATGTCGAGGGATATGGCAAAACAACACTGTGGTCGACACAAACTAACTTCCCCCCCCCCCACCTCCAATAAGAAGTTTTCGTTGAGTACAAGGTAACAGGAAATGAGGAAGTGCGAGGACCACACTGGGAAAATAAAGGACCCGCCACTTGCCTAAGATTATCTCTCCTCTTTTTACTTCAAATTTTCGAGTACGGCTAAGGCTAACTCTTGAACTCTTTCCAGGTTCTTCAGAAGTAGACAACTGACATAGAAATTTGTATGTAGCAAACCGCCTGCTCAATTAATCGGAGCACTCTGTACAAATCAGATGTCGGCTTCACAAATTGAAGTCTTGTATATAGCAAACTGCTTGCTCAAGAGCACCCTGTACAAATCGCACGTCGGCTTCACCAACCGAAGTCCTGTATACAGCAAACCGGCAACTCAATCAATCGGAGCACCTTGTACAAATCAAACGATGACTTCGCCAACTAGATCTTTGTATATAGAAAACTTCAAAGTTCACCAACAAAAGTGATTGGCAGTATTGCTCTGTCAATCACAGACACCGGGATAAACAATGGAAAATCGTGTTACCAATGTCCGGCCAATCGATGGTTGCAATCTAGCTTCGCAGTCAAGAGTATCTCTGGGGCATGCTTTATTTTTCTTTACTATTGCTTTGAATGTTTTGACGTTTTTGCTCATGCTGTTTTAGGTATGATTACCATTTTTATCCACCACTCCTGAGCGGAGAATATTTTACATTTTAGTGCAAAGCTCTCCCAACAAGCGGAAACGCACTCCACAAATCAAGCTCTCCCAACAAGCGGAGACACTTCTCATTGCAAAGCTATCCCAACAAGCGGAGACGCACTTTACCAATCAAGCTCTCCCAACAAGCGGAGACAATTTTCAAATTCTCCGACAGCGGCGGAACGGTACATACACCGGCTAACAAAATTGAGTCAGGATCAAGTATCCCATCATCCCAATCCCAAATAACGGCTCGCCGGTAGCCATATCATTCACCCTTTATTTACATCGCACCTTAATATATTTTGCATTACAATATATTGACATATGTGTATTTCGTTTGTTATGCAAGAATAAACATCACAGTGTGGAACCTTTTCTTAGCAGCACCGAACTACAATGCTATGGGGACAGCCAACCCAATTGCTGGCCAAAGATCTCAGCTCAATATGACCAGCGAGCTCAAAATTTCGAATCATTCAAATCAGGCCTCAAAATTCAAGCCACCATGAGTGACTATCACGACCCAAACTCAACCGTCGTGATGGCGCCTATTGTGGAACTAGGCCAGCCTCACTCAACAAAATTCAACACAACAACAATAAGTTTGAAAACGTTACGGAAGCATTTAACATAAAGAAAACTGTTTGAAACATAAGAAAAATCCAAAAGTGATACAATCTAGCCCAAAACCGAGGTGTCACTAAGTACATGAGCATCTACTCGAAATACAAACCACTACAAGGTCTAATGGAAAACAACTCAAAGTACATCAAATGATAAAAGAGGAGAGTCAAGGCCCGCAAACGTTGTGCAGCTACCTCGAAAGTCTCCAAACTCTGGAAATGCTCGAACAGTAACCGTTGCCGTAAATAGACTAGCCTAGATCTGCACACGAGGTGCATGGAGTAACGTGAGTAGACCAACTCAGTAAGTAACAAGTCCAAACTTTGGACTGAAAGGTAGTGACGAACTCAACCTCAACAGATATAACAGATTAATGTGCAGAAACGTAGGCATGCTTTCAAGTAAAATAGATATCTCAAAGCAATAAGGTAAATACAGATCTGAACAGTGTAAAGTATACAACTACGCTATCTCTACATGCCAATGCACATATTGTGTGTATGCACCATGTACTCTCACTATTAAGTTCTCAACCATTCGGTACTGTATATGGCCATCCGGTCCAGGGAAATCCATCCCGAAACATATACAACACTGACTGTAAGTCACCCAGTACCGAGGAAAAAGGGCAATCCAACCTTGTGGATAAATGCATCTCCAGGTATCAAGTACTTCGGACAAATCCATGTCCATGGAAATCCATCCCTCAATAATATCATCTCACTAGGGGGTGTTACAGACTCCGGAGGGACTCCTTTAGCCCAAGCGCTATCATAATTCAATATAATCGTTGCGGTGTGCAGCCCGATCCCATAACTGTCACTCATAATCAGGCTCTTGGCCTCACTCAGTCATCAACCTCTCCAGTCTTACCACGGGCTCACAATGTCATGAAAACAACCTGGAAAAACAATATGACGAATCAATAAATAACTGAGACTCAGATATGATATAAAAATGCACAATCATGACTAAGTATGGAATGTCAAATGAAACTAGTGAGATGACAGCAAGAAACGACCGCTAAGGGTCCAAACAATACCGGCACAAGCCTAAACATGATATCTAGCATGGTTTACAACTCAATTACTTTATCACACGAAGAAAACATGGATATCAACAGGATAGAGTCACTAAACGGTACCATGGAATCACCCAGACCACAATTCTTACAGTGCACTCATGCACGCCCGTCACTTGGCATGTGAGTCACCTCAATATTAATCACATAACACATAGTTCGGGGTTTCGAACCCTCAGAACCTAGTTAGGAAGCGTTACTTACCTCAAACCAAGCCAAAAACCTACTCCGCGACGCATTTGCCCCTCAAATCGGCCTCCATACGTCCCGAATCTAGCCACAAGCAAAACAATACGATCAATATAGGCTAAAGGAACCTATTCCACAAAAAAAACTGCCAAATTATAACCAAAATTCGAAATTGTGTCAACCCGGCCCCCGGGCCCACGTCTCGAAATCCGACAAAAGTCACAAAACCTGAAATCCCATTCACTCACGAGTCTACCGATATCAAATTTACTCAAATTCGACAGCAAAATCCCGTTCAAAACCCCCAAAATCATAGCTCACGAACACTTCATCTTCTTCCCCAACTTTTCACCCCAAATCACAAATTAGATGACAAAATTAAAGGTAGAATCATGGGTTTTAACCAAAACCAAGTGAGAAGCACTTACCCCAATCACCTCTCTGAAAATCCCTTCAAAAATCGCCCAATTCCGTGGTCTCTAGCCCAAAATATTAAAAATGGGTTCAAACCCTCGATTTTCAAATTTAACACTGCTGCCCTGATATCCTTCATTGCGATCGCAGAAATAGCCTCGCGATCGCGAAGCACAAACAGGCTGCCCCACATTTTCAATCTATGCGAACGTGGAATTCACCATGCGTTCGCGAACCACTGCCACACAAACGTATGTGATCGCATCCTACCTCACGCGATTGCGTAGAGCAATCACCTCAGCTCCTCTTCAGCTCTATAACTCCTACGCGAATGCGGTAGTGACCACGCATTCGCTAAGCACGACCGCACACACATACGCGATCGCGTCCCTAACTTTGCGGTCGCGTAGAACAAACTCACCTCTGCCCCATATAAGCTTAGTCTATCGCAAATATACTCATGCGATCGTGTATAAAGAAACCAGAAGAAAAATACTAGTAGCTATCATCCATCCTCCAAAAGCCAAAAATGATCTGTTAACCACCCGAAACTCACCCGAGGCCCTTGGGACCTCAACCAAACATATCAACACATCCCATAACAACATACCAACTTAGTCGAACCATGGAATCACTCAAAACAACATCAAAATACCAAATTACCCCCGGATTCAAGCCTACGTGCTTCTAAACTTCCAAATTCCACAAACGATGCCGAAACCTATCAAATCACGTCTTAATGACCACAAATTTACACACAAGTCATAAATGACACCACGAACCTACTCCAACTTCCAGAATTCCATTCCGACCTCGATATCAAATTTCCACGCCGGCCATAATCGCCAAAATTCAAGCTTTCGCCAATTCAAGCCTAACTCTAACACGGGCTTCCAAATTACATTTTTGATGTGCTCCTAAGTCCAAAATCACCTAACGAAGCTAACGGAACCATCAAAACTCAAATCCTAGGTCATTTACACATAAGTCAACATCCGGTCTCCGGACCAAAACCAACTAACCCGGTAAGTCATAATACAGCTGAAGAACA